AAAATCATGAGAAGGCCTAACGCCTTGTATCATCCCCCTGTTTTGTTCGGACGGATACGACAGCAGGAATCGTTCAATTGAAGAAACTGTTATCGATTTGTTATAAATTGTCAGCAATCTCAAAAGGTGTGGACTGAAGCGGTGGTCGCGCATTACGCTAAGAGTCTTGAGAGTGGTGAAGTAATAAAATAGAAGAAAGTTCACCCCTAGCTGTCCTCCTTAGATCCAAGCTATTGCAAAATAATCCACTAGGAATGATAACGCGTCTACGTGATTCGATAGTGCCAGAAGCCGAATTTGTGTGGATCAGAACATTAGCTTTCAATAACATGCGGTTGTACCAGCGATTAAAAACATTTTAACATAGTGGAAGTGACTGTGATAGGCCCAAAATCACTGGAACATTGAACATGAGGCTTCTTTGCAATGGGCCTGAACTGGGCTACCTTTTAGCAACCAGATACGCGGGCGCTCTGTAGACATCAATTAAACAAATCACTGAACACTGGAAAAGTCTTAGCAGGATCACTAGTCCACTGTCAGGTACCTCAGGTCGAGAAGCCGAGCGATCTCGAGGGTCTGCAATTAGAAGAAGAAATAACCGGATATACCTCTGTGATTGAGCAACTGAAGCTTTAAACTGACCCGACCATTGATCTGATTCTTACTGAACCGTTAAACATGGTCTCGATCATGGCATTTCCGTAACTGCATAAATATTTTATCGCAGTAAGGAGGGTTTTAGATGACTTTCATTAAGAATCGTAAAGTAGAAGGACTAATTCAGTCGAATAATTTCGATTTTAAGCTGAAAGTACAGCCTTTCAACTGCAAACTTGTCATTTGCTTTGAAGGCATGTTCTACCATCTTTTGTATAGCTGCTTTATCATTTCTGAGGTGAAAACTGGCGTTTGACGAAAATTTTTTGAACCAGATAGCAGATGGCATAAGTAAAAGTCAAATATTCAGCTAGAACATCAGCTTACATCTTAATGTCGTCATCACATAACTGCCGTCATTGCGAATTCTGCATTATACTTCTGAGAAGTTCAAAACCTTTCTGAACAACATATCTTCTACTCAGTGTTCGCTGTTGTTCTGAATACGTTTCAGGCCGAGTTTCTGTAGAGAGAGTTGGAAAGACTTGAACAGATCAGTGATCAGAGAACTCAAGTGGCGCAAGGCCGTAGGCACAAAACGCTGGTTCAAACTGCTAGCTGTCAGTCAGTCATTCGCCCTCTTCACCTTTGCAACATCTCGTATCTTAAACAGCCAAATGCATGCAACGGTTTGCACAGCATCGCGATTTCGATCACTGCATCCTGTTTCACAACTAGGAGTTCTTCACGAATGTACTACGGCATGATGACGCAAACATTGACAAGTTCAGTATGACAGAATACTAAATATAAAATATATAGTATATCACAGAGCAGTGCTGGAAAACAACGCAGACTGCTGAGTTGTACGAGCGACAAGGGAAAAGTGAACCAGCCAAACAATTCAGGAAGTACTTTTCACATGATCCTTAAGCCGTCTTCGTGTTCATGAATTGTCATATCCATTCCATTTATGGGGATTAAAACTGACAGTGGTTCAAACCTCTTGCTAGAGAACGTAATCAAAATGTCCATCTACAATACAAAATTGCTTTAAAGGCGAAAACATACCTGTGAACCTGACAAATACCGCTGCGTCCTTAACCGATTGCTTAAGGGTTCGACGCGAGATTACGCCTAACCTGGGGGCTCGGCAGTAGACACATTATATATGGTCCATTCAGCCATAAACTTCTCTACTTTGGAGAGAACTGCGAAAATGGATTATACAGGTATCTAGCTGAATGCCTATATACCTTCTTTATCTATCCAGATAGCCATATTCATTAGCGGTGGTATATAAGTTATAAACCTATATGGAACTTGTAACTACTCTTCAAGAAGAGATTTGAAGCTTCTACGGCTGGGTATTAAACTACATATTTGTTTGCAACAACACAAATATGCTTCAGCCAATTGTGTTCGCTTCCTGATTCATAGTTCAAGACGATGATTAACAAGGGCAATGTAATATCCGTTACCTACTGATGTAGCATATCAGCGTCATCATTAGAGTATATTTGCTTCAGTTCAATGAGCACTGATTTTTAGAGTCAAGAATATCAAACGATAATTACCCGTTTCTCTTGTGACTCCTTCGGAGATCAGGACTTTCATGTCTTATTGTGCTCCAAAATGTTTTGAACCTGTTTAGCAGATATTCGTCATATTCATCCCCAATTCGGTTTTACTATTTCAGATGTCTTTTCAAGATGTTCTGTTTTCAAGCAATGGGCTCGAACTGACTGATAGAC